TGTGTGGGTTTTCTGAAGGAACAGTGATAAATATAAGCATGGCACTAAAAGTATGTGTTTTGCTATGAATTAAGTGGTAAAATGTATATCAGAAAGTGTTGTCTTCTGAATTGTGGTAGATGCATATGAACATGAGAATTTTAGGTTAGTGATAGTTAGATATGATGCTCTAGCAAATGATGATAATGAAAGACCATGGTTTAAGGGAAATTATGTAACATTCTAAATGAATTTGACCTGGGGGAAAATAGTTTGTTAGGTGGCATGAATATGGGAACAAAGAGACCCAAGGATGAATGAAAATGGTTATTTGATCAATATCTGATTAGAAAAATGATGGTTTGTTTTTGAACTTGAGATTTAAAAATAAGGCTATCCATATTTACAAAGACAAAGTAATTAAAAGCATGACTGTTTTGATTATAAGTGATGAAAGACTAACAAAAGATACAAGTGTGAGGAACAGACAGTTACTTGACCATTAAGTATAAATCATGGGGGGAAAGAACTTGAAAATAGCAAAAATAGAACAACTGCAGAAATAAAAAATATTAATCTATACGAAAAAACATGTCATCTCACCACAGAATGACTAGAAAGTGGACATAAGAAAGCAGATATGGAACCATCCTGGATCAGAGTAACAACAATTATTTTTCAGTATGTGAAATAGAAATGTGTGAAGTTATACTACTGTAGTGGAAAGTATGAAAAATAATACTAGGCAGAATTAAGTGAAAAAAGTTATGGGTTAGAAAACAACCTGTACACACAAAACAATGTTTTGTGGACATATGGAAAAAATGTGGACAAGAGAAATATATTGTATAACTTTAGAGAAAAAAGAGTTGAATGTATTCCAAAGCAATAATTAAGATTAGGTAGGGGCAGAGAAATGGCAGAATGTTAATGGAAATATAATAAAATAAATGCCTTTGGAAGTGTGCAAAACCTGCTGAAGAAGGGCCTCCACAGAATGAATAAAATTAAAAATAATCAAATTATTTGTGATGAGAGAATACTGGAAGGAATATTTTAAAGGTTTGTATGGGAATCAGGGGTTTATTGAAGAGAGGAACTGAAATTAATGAATGCTATAAACATCAATGTCTAGGAAAAGAAAGGATGAAAAAGTTAATACTATGAGCGGATCAAAATGGTTAGCCTGAAAGCATGCATGTGATGAGATATATGTTAATATATAGATATGAAATAATTTAACATGTGCTTTGAGATGGAGATGGGTAGTTTCTAATTTGATAAATAAATGTGCATAAGGACTATAAAGATGATTAAGAATGACTTACAAAGGAAAAAATAAGGAAGATGAATGCAAACATTACAGTGAAAATTTGTTGAAAACCCTTGAGATAGTATTCTGCAGAATTCTGACTCAAAGGGTAAAAGAGGTAGTAATAAATAAAATTTAGGATATGTGGTGCAGCATTATCCTGAATAGCAAATTGTGTATATTTTTGTTTTTAGTAGGTTATTGAAAAAGTTATGTGTGAGAAAGCAAAGTATTTTATGTTGTTGATTTAGATAAGGCACATAATAAAATAAATTGACCAATTATGGAAAATGTTGCACAAACATGGAAGTTGGTTACAGAGTATGATAAGGGAGATATATGATGTAAATACAGCATGAAAGAGAAAATGGAATACTTGGCAAATAATCATTAAGCAGGGAGGAAGCTGAAGATGCATCACCCCTCTATGATTACTTCCTGATTATGTTACAGATTTATACGATCTGAAGAGAAACCCAAATCATACAAATCTATAACATCTCAACCTTTTGCCTAAGATCAAGTGCAGATATTATGAATATTTTGACTGGAGATATGAATGTGTATATTTTTATATGCAGCAAACTCATTTTATTGGTTGAGAAGCCAAATATTTTATACTGAATGTTAAATATAATTTATGATATAAAAAGGTAGGTAAATTAATATATTGATAATCAATATAACTTAGTTGGACAGAGAAGATAGAGAAAACAATTGTAAATTGTACATAAATTATGAAACAGAGCATATAGATGAATTTGTATAGCGTAGTGGAATGTGTATTAAAAATAAAAAATGGAGAAATGTTAAAACAAACAAATACTCTTCAAAAGTTGGAAGGTTTGCAAAATAAGACTATGTTGAGAGAAATAGAAATGGCTAAACAGAAATGTGCTTCTGCTCATTTTGTTACCTGGATGTGAGAACTAGATATGCCAGGAGAAATATAAGAGTAAGCTGGATTTAGAGGGAATAGTCTTTAGAAGAGTACATGGTAAAACTAAAATAGGATAAAAATGAATAGGTGCTGAATGAATGTGAGTTGAAATCAGATTTGAATGAATAGTATGAAAGTAAATTGAGGTAGTTTGGTGACAGAAAGAATCAAATTGTAAAAATATATATGAAGGAATGCTGAGTAGGAGAAGAAAAAAAAGAGTGAAAACAAAGACTGAGAAAATTGGAACTGAGTGGAATTCATGAGATCTTCCAAAAGAGAATTTAAAGAACAAAAGGCAATGTATGAAGTAATAAATTGTCCTAATGAAAGGAAGGATTGACAAATATGAAGATGTATAGTGTTGGCCTAAACTACATTTAGCTTTCATTTTCTGGTTTAATCTCAGGCTTTTAATTTATTTTGCATTAAAGTGCTTACCCTGAAAGGGAATAATAGCATGATGTTAGAATGTAAAATTAATACAGTAATGTATCTGGATACTCTGTATCCATTATATGATGTACAAGTCAAAATATTGTAATGCAACCAGAAAAGTATTCTTAAAAGGTGTTTGGTTAAAAACAAGAATATGAAAAAGTAATAAATGTCAAATGAATGTGAACACAATGAGTGAATGACCAACGAGAAAGACTTTTATATAGTTTAGTCATAGAGAATGAGAAACAAATCACAAAATGAAAATATGGAGTAGGAAGAATGGAGAAGACTGAGAAAACTGTGATTGGATGGAGTTGAAAAGATCCTCAAAAGAAAGAAATGAGAAGTTTAAAGAACAAAAGGTAATGAAGAATCAGTGAATAATATACGTAATGGAAGCAAGGATGATTGGAAAAGGAAATTTACATAAATATTATTTACACAAATTACTAGATGTCTCTGTACAGGAGAGATATATTGAATTGCATTTGTACAAACTAGTTTTTTGTAGATTTCTTTTATTCCCTTTTATTTCTTTTATTTATTCTCCTCAGCACTTTATACCTTTTCTAGTCTTTGCCCAACTTTGCTTAGCCTGAAAGTGAATATCAATGAAGGGTAATAGGTACGTTCAAATGACCAGGCAGTTTTAATTACTGACTAGAAAGAGGCCACGTAGCCTATAGTTTAATGAACTGGTTCCTCATCTCCCATGATAAGGATCTAGGAGAGAAAGAGTGGAATCCTCACGTTTCACAAATACAAATATACGACAGGAGAAAGGGCTGTTATTTATGCTTAGGGGCTTCTCAAGAGAATGATCCGTTCACAGAGAACCGAAGGGCAAGTGGCAAGCATGGTTATCTATATACATCCCGCCAATCCGCGTTCCTTTAACCTCCACAGAGCCCGATTTTTGTAGGAAGTCGCGGGCACCGAGAGAGCAGTTCGGCTCGCGGTACTACACATCAATCCAGGCACAACCAAGTCCCCACGTCCTCCTGCGTAATAAAAACCTCTTCTTCGCTCAGCTGACTTTCCTTTTCCTTTGGGAGCGTCAGACATTGATTCTGACAGGAAAGCGACAATTCCGTGTTGGGCAACACGGATTGTTCGATAAAAGTCCTTCCCAACCCCGCCTTGTGCCTGTATTTTGATTGGGGTCTCTCGGCCATACTATCATACGGAACGGCTAACAGTCATGATTTATACATTGGTGGACACAGGCGCACAGCGTCGTCGTCCTTTTTACATTTGTGTATACGTGAGAAAGTGTTTCGCTGACCAAATCTTTTGGCCGCTACGTCTAGGCTGAGGTGTTAAGGCAAGTGGGTAAAGGAGAGAAGGAGGCCCCGCTTCACACAAATAGCTTCTGATGCGCATTTCGGCCACGGTCGGTTCCAGGATTCACAACCTCCCCCCCCCACCCCCACCTCTGGGTTATAATAGGAGTGGCCTAAGGAAAAACCTCGCGGCACATTTCGGCCGACTGAAAAACAGTAAGGAGAGGAGGGAAAAAAAAGATAAGTTATCCTGCCCCTTTAAGAAATTTAGGCGAGAGAGTTTGCGGAAGGGATCACTTAAGGATCGCAAGCCGAATGGGTGAACTAGTCTCGTGACCGGAGCTGGCCCCGCCCCGGGATCTCCCCCCTCCTAGCCCTCCGCGTTCCATTGTGTGTGCGAGCTGCGTGCGTCCCCGCCTCTCCTTTTCTGGACACGCCCTTTTTTCTCTTGGCTCATTTCCGGCGCGGCCGCTCGCTTCCCTCTGAGGAATCGGGAGAGTGAAGAAACAACAGCCGCCATTTTGTTGGTGTGTGAGCGATTGAGGGGAGGGAGAGAACGAAAAGCACCGAGCTAGGCGGGTACAGCCTTGGAGGTGGAAAACAGCGGCAGAGACCTTCGGCAACTCAGGGCCCCCGGCCGGCCAGACCCGAGACAACCTGAAACCTCCGTGATATACCCACTGTACTAGCCTCGTAGCCAGTAGGGGAGTACGCACTCCCGGTTTCGGCTAGAAACTCGGGACTCCGGGTGGACTCCACCCCAATTCCTTCTGGCAATTGAGCACGTTCGCGGGTCTAGGAGACCGCTTCGCCTCGATTTGGAGAGCTGCTGCTTCTTCTTCTCTGAACATCTCCTTTCCTGTGGCTCTATATGGTGGAGAGGAGACGGGGCCGCTGCTGAAACGCCTGAGGCACGGCGTCTCCAGTGCCGAGGAGAGCCTTATCCTTTCCATAGATCAAGCGCTCGTAGCCATCCGTATCCTCCGGGGAGGGGGGGAGAGGCTGAGAGAAGGGGGGAGGGGCCGCTCCTGCCGCTTCCTCCTCCTCCTCCTCCTCTCCTTGCTTTGGGATCGATCCCGTCGTCTCACCAGAAAGGGGTACCCTGCCGGAGAGAGAGAAAGAAAGGAAAGAAAAGGAGGGGTGGCAGGCGCGCGTCCTGAAGCCCACCCTCTCCAGCTCCCATCCCGGGATCTCTGCTGCCTCCATCGGGACAACAAATCTCTCCTCCGCCTCCTTGTTCCTGCACAACAAGATGTGAAGCGGAGACTCCTGGGACTTAGCTTCATCCTCCTCCTCCTCCTCCTCACGGCTCCCTTTTCTGCAGCCATTAGTGATTAGCAGGGACGGCGCAGGGGGAGTTGGGGGGACCCTCGGTACGTTCCGTCTGCGATCCCCTTCCCCAGCCCCCTTGTTCACCAGCGTAGGCATTTTCCTCCGTTGCAGGCTGGTTTTGGAAGGAGTAGGAAAGAACTGCAAGCAAAGAAAAACGATTCTTTCTCTCTTCGCCTCTCCTCCTTCGCCCGCCTCCTTGTGGCGATGAGGAGGAGGAGGACGACGCCGAGGAGGAAGAGGTTGATGGCGGCGAAGAGGCAGCAGCAGGAGGAAAAGACGACGACCCCCCGGAGGATGAAGATGGTGGTATTGGCGGCGGTGGCGAGGAAGCACCAACTGGTCTACGGCCGGATTTAATTCGATTTGTACATTTACCGAGCCCTTTTAATTGATTTTAGGAAGGGTTTGTTCTGTTCTTTTCATCCTTGTTTTTCCCTGTGGCCCGGAGAAAAGACTGCTTCCACACCCTGTTTCCCATCTCTGTTCCCCCTTACTCACTGCTATCCAACAGAAATCGATCTCGAGGAGCGGAAAAAGAGGAACTTTGTCTATTTCTTCAGTCCATTTCCATACTGCTCTTCGGTTGATTTTGGATCACAGAAAACGGCTGAAGGCATTGGGGATCCCCATCTTCAATTTGGGCTCTGTTTGTCTAAAAAGAATTAAAAATGGCCGAGAATGTGGTGGAGTCGGGCCCGCCTTCAGCCAAGAGGCCTAAACTCTCTTCACCGGCGCTCTCTGTCTCTGCAAGCGATGGCACAGGTCAGTCTTGGGCATAGATCCCTTAATTTTACCTTATCACAAATGGACTCTCTTTTTGGACAGTCTTTTTGCCAGTCGGATATATTTCTTTCCTCTGTCTATCTACTTGTTTTAGCCTATATTTTGAAATATTACTTTGGATATTTAATTGACATTAAGCTTTATTTCTTTTGAAGGGGCTGTAAATGAGTTGATGCTTACCTCTGAGTGCTTGCAGCGCTTGAAATCTTGTGAAAAGTGTTCTTTATTGCATAGTTATTATCTGTGTGTTGATATAGTGTCTTTTCTTCAAATCTTAAACTCATTTAATCTGAAGAGTCCTTATTTTTCATCTTTCCACTGTTCTGATGGCTAAGTTTTAATTGCCTTTGTTTCCATCAATTATTTAGTACTAATATTGTTTCATAAAGAAGTGATTACAGTTGCTGATAGAATTCATTTTGATGCTTTTGTTAAGACAGCTTCATTAGATCAATACTGAATATAGACTTGGTCATCTGCTTTTGTTCAGAGACTAAAATGTCTGAATTTCCCCTGAAGTCATGCCTTATTTGTAAAGATGAGTACAGTAACACTTGTTTACATATTTATTTATTTATTGAACAAATCAATTAGATAGAAATACTACAACTCTTTTGAAATTAGCGATGCATGTTACAGGTGTTCATTTGGTAACAACTGTTTTTATAGGTTCTCTTGGAAGTTCAGGCAACTATACCCCCTGTAAAGAATAAATTCGCTGCAAAAGAAAAAATGTGTTTCCTGAGATTTCTGACTAGTATAGGATTAGTCTGTGCAATAGTTATTTTAATTCATTTTATTAGAAGAAATTAACTGGAATCCTTCAGCAAAAATGTAGACATTCTGAATATTAATGGTAGCCAGACTTGTTCATTGAATTTGTTTCGTACTGCATATATAAATGCAAGGGAAAATGGCTGATTGTATTTGATAGGCTGTATGTGTGTGTGTTTGTCTGAATAGTGACTGGTTGGATACATTAGGTAATATGGAATGCTGCTTGTGTTTAGTATTTACTTCCAAACAATGTTTCTATTTGAATCTGCAGTCTTTCTTGGTATCTCCTGCAACTTCAAAGATATGTAGGTTATTTTGCTACCAAGAGCATTAGTTTCACTATTTGCAGGCCTAATATAATGCTTACCTGAAAATCAACAAGTTCCATTTTGCTAATAGGAAAGCAAGATTGGAATCTGCCTTCAGAATTCTTTGGGGTATATAATACTTACCTTTTCAGATTTATGCTATAGAATAATCCTTATTAACATTGTACCCGTTTCCTATGCAGACAATTGAAAATAGCCATCCTGATTTAAAGTTGCAAGTCTGTGCACTTTTCTGAGACTATAGTCCATTGAATGAATTCATAATCATATAAGTATAGTGTGAATGAATACAACCCAATGTGTATATACTCAGATATAAATCTTACTGGATTCAATTAACTTTTTCAATGAATGCTTCTTTTGCCAATGAAAATGGTACACTTTTATTTTCCTCAAAAAGCCATAGTTTTTGCCTTTATAAACCATTACATCTTTCCAATTTGTTTTAGAAATATAAATCAAATTAAGTTTGTTGTATTGACTGTTTTAATTTGTTACCATCATATCCAAATAGTTGCTACATGTTTTCTACCTTTTCATTAATCATGAATACAAATTTTATTTTTGTTGGTTGAATCCTCTTTGAAATAATAGTTAGATATTTTCAAATATAGTAAGCTTATACATATTAAGTTATTTAAATATATTGCAACTAGTGAATTGCTAGTTTGACTTTGTTTTAATATTCAGTTTTCTAAAGGTGTGAAGATATCTGTGATTTAGTGTGTTCTGATAAAAGCTATGCAGAAAAATGTTACATATGTAAGAATAGTAAACCTCATAGTTGCAACAAATTACTAACATATTTCCCATAATGCTGCGTCACAGTGCTGCATCTTTTTTCTAGCTATTACATGCTCTAGATTCATTTTTCTGTTCTGTTGTTGTTTTTTTGTTTACTCTAGTTCTCTAGAACATGCACAGGTGTAAATGCTAAATTTATTTGGGAGCTATGGGAAAAGAGCCAGGAATCCATATTTGTTGGCAAATTGGAAATGCATCTACATTATGTAATTACAATAAAAATTATTGTTCAGTCACTAAGTCAGGCCCGACTCTTCGGGACCCCATGGACCACAGCATGCCAATTCCCCTTTCCTTCACTCCTCCACTGTCACCTGGAGTTCCCCCAAATTCATGTTCATTGGGTTGATGACACTATCTAACCATCTCATCCTCTGTCATACCATTTTCCTTTTGCCTTCAATACCAGAAAAATAAGGAAGATTAATAGATATAATTCTATCTTTATCCCCAAAAGTAGCTTTATTCCTTAGAATTTCTACATATGATTAATACAGTTCTCCCTGAAACATTTTGCCATAGTTATCAAGAATACCTTGTATACTCAGCATTTTTCATGTAGGATTTTAATGTTTTATTGTTTGAAGATAACCAAACCCACTCCAAATGAACTAAAGGAGAGGCAAAAAAAAAACTGCTTAACAACATAAGCATGAAGTGAATCAAAGAACACAGCTATAGTTATTTACTGAGGTAGTGTTTTTTGCTTATAATCCTGCTCACAATATTTTGCATCTGTTTTTTCACATAGATTTTTGATTAAAGTCATCTTAGAATGCATTTCATTTAGTTGTATTTCTGCAGTTAAGGTATGCAAGTCCTATTATGCCTGCTAGCAAACTCTAGTTGTTCTTCACTTTAATGATACTACATGTACAAGTTCTTTTTTTTCTTTTCCAGAAATGAGTTGTTTCTGTCATCTTGCTTATTTTGTGACTACAGAAAAACCTGTAAATAAGTATAGTGTATGCTAAACAGCTTGGCAGGTACCAAATTATTTGGACTCAGTAAATTAGGTCTAGGAATTCTGAAAGGAGTATTCAACTGTTTCCTCTATCCTTCAGGCATATGTTTTAAAGTCATCACAGTTTTGAATCGTTTTGTGCTTGTTTCAGAATTTTGAGATGCCTCTATTTTTGACAAAAATTATTCCAAATGTCTGAAGAATTATAACAATATTTGATACTTATATATAAAGTCTGAAATAGACTTTCTGTAAAAATGAGAATATTACATTAATAGTTTAGCATTTTGTATAGGCATTTATAAAAAATAATGATGTGAGTAGAACTTACCATCTTTTGGTATAAGTAAGGAAAAAGGTAGTTGAAGTGAGAAACTCTTACAATGTTCCTTGTTTCTGGTTTGTCATTTCATGGCAGAAGTGATTATCACTTTCCTAGGATTCAAGAACACTAAGGAAGTGGTAGCAGGTGTTTTTGCTTTGATGTACTATAGGATCCTGTGGATCTCAGATCCCAAAGGGAGTTCTGGCAAAGAAGCATGCCATTTCAGTTTCCATCTGTGTTATATGTGGTTGCCATTGGCTCTTTAAGGAGCCCTAAGATAAATTTCTGAGAGTGTGTAGAATATATAGTCTCTTGTTTTTTCCTTCCTTAGAGAAGAGGTTTATTCAAATTCTCACTTAAAGCAGTTATGTCATCTGCTGTAATTGTATTTCAGGCAAGTTTCAATAAGTGCTACTAAACTAAACATATAATATATTGGTAGGTGGTTGCTTTTCTGCAATCTGTATCATAAAATGCATTCTCCATCAACCAATGCCAATAGCTTCTGATTTTTAAAATAGAAATTGCTTACTTACTGAAAAATATATTTCTTAAAAGATCATTAAATGAAGTTTGTTTTGTATGTCAGAATTTAATTTCCAATGAACATGCAAACTAAATTTCAAAATTTATTTTTGAAATGGAAATATACTACTGCTTTAATAGTTGTAGATAAATTACATGGCCTTAAAATTGGAAAAGTGAAAGTTCTGAAAAGTATTCAGTTACATATGTTTACATGGTATCTCTGAATACCAGCCAATGTGATGTAGTTGTTAAACAATATGCAATAATACTAATGTTAGTTCCAAAGGTGTGCTCTGTACAACTCTGAATTGAATAATCCATGAATGGAGAAGGGGATGATTATGTTGATTCACCTTTCTGTAATACAGCTGGTTATATTCCCCCAAATGTGCTCTGTTAATGAGCTGTGTGAGGAGGTAGCAATAAATTGATTCCCTGCCTCCTTTCTCTAAGAGGAAGACATGTTGAATTTTTGTAGCCTTCAACAATACAGAATACAAGTTGATACACCTCTGGAACCATTATGAAGGCTTTACTTGCAAGTAAATATGATTATAATACCAAATAATAACTGAATTTAAGAACTTAACTGTCAAATTTAGCTCCTGTTTAAGGGGTAAATCATAAAATTAGAGTGAAAACTACATTAATAACCTATTAATATTTATGCTTATCATTAATATTTGCACCATCAGAATATTTTGTTCAAATAAATTGAAAATTGTTCATTTATATTAGTTCAGTGTACAAAGTCAACCGTGTGGCATCATGCACTTTTTTTGCACATATAAATAGTGGCAAAGAATATCACTATTTAAATAGGTACACTTCTTGATTGCCACGTTGTTTTATCAGCTGTCCTAGAAATCCTTTCTAAGGTGGGTAAATTGAGGACCCAGTTTGTGGGGGCAATAAGCTGACTTTGTATAAATATACAAAAGGATGAAGGCTATTGCTTAGCGCATTGTAAGCCGCCCTGAGTCTCCGGAGAAGGGTGGCATATAAATCAAATTTAAAAAAAAATACTTTAGTTTTGAAAAATGGCACATATCTGATTTAAAAATAGCAACAAACATTGAATGTCTTGGATATTTTGCTAAAACCCACCGTTTTGTCTGATCTGCCTTGTCACTAGAAGAAGCTGCTACATTTGTTTGCAAATGTTACATTTTCAGAACTACCGTTGAGGTATATTAACACACTTTAAAGTAGTATGGTAAACTGTTAAACTTGTTGGGTAGGAGAATTTGTGCCTCTTGGAGCAATTTTTATTAATAATTTTAAAAATAAAGTCACCCTAGAATTTGCCATACTTCCAAAACTAATTTTAAGAGAAACTGCTTGTAGGCATTGGTAGTCTTCCTTTAGGTTTTTCCTTCAGCAGATCTTAAAGCTGTCTTGGGGGGGATTCTGGAATTTTAGAAAGCTGTTAAAGCAGTTCAAGATTTAATTGCAGGAAGCTTCTGAAAGGCAAATATTATAAAATCCAAAGGACTTGGCTCAGTTTTGTATTTCTTTTAAGATTTTTACCTATTGAATATCTTGAAATAAAACTGTAGAATTAGAAAAGTTCATCCTTCTAGCATATTGTGTCTGGGCTATATTATGTTCACACATTGAATAATTTTGGCAATAGAACCAAAATGAGATTGCAGTTGACTTTTTTTTGATCATTCAGAAACATGGAATAAGTTGATCTCATGTTTCTGTATCTTCTAATTACACAATCTTTAAACTTGTAAATTTTGTAGGTCAGTTTCAGCAAAATAGAACAATTTGTCTATTCAGTTTTCACCTGGTAAACTTTCCTACTAGATGTGATGGATCATGTTAGCTGACAAGTTATAGAACTAAAAATTAGGCAAGTAAAGAATGGAATTGCTGAATTGTGTTTAATGCTATCTATTTCCCAGCAAAGTCTTGCTGAAACAATGGTGTATAGGCATGTGCACTGATTTGCTGCTCTTAGTTTTTAAGCACTGAGGTTAGTAGCAACTGTAAGATGTCACATTTAACATTTGAGAGATATTTAAAAGCTTATAAACCTGGAACCAATGTGAGTTAATTGATAGTGTTGCACAGCTGAACTGGGTATATTAAAAAATATTATTCAATGAAATTTGAGAGGGTTGTTGAGGTGACATTTTATTTAAAAAAATTAGTCTAAAGCAAATTAGATCAATACTGAAGAAAAACCATTCAGCTGAAATATTTGCTGAAGTGCTCTAAATCATTTTTTTAACTTTTCTCTCCAGATTTTGGATCTCTTTTTGATTTGGAACATGACCTACCAGATGAACTTATCAGCTCTACGGAACTGGGACTTACTAATGGTGGTGACATTAATCAACTGCAGACTAGCCTTGGTATGGCACAAGATGCTGCTTCTAAACACAAACAGTTGTCAGAATTGCTACGAGCTGGCAGCTCGCCAAACCTTAATATGGGAGTTGCTGGGCCACCACAAAATATGGCCAGTCAGCCACAACAGAACAATCCTGGAATGGGAATCTTAAACAGTATGGTCAAAAGTCCCATGGCTCCACTGACATCTCCAAATTTGGGGATGGGTACAGGTGGGCCAAATCAAGGTCCATCAACTCAGTCCACTGCAGGAATGATGCCAACAGTAAATAGTCCAGTAAATCAGCCCGGAATGGGAATGAATGCAGGAATAAATGCTGGCATGAATCCTGGTATGTTGTCTGCAGGAAATGGGCAAGGAATGATGCAAGGACAAGTTATGAACGGTTCAATTGGAGCTGGAAGAGGACGTTCCAATATGTCATATCCAAACCCAGGAATGGGAAATGCTGGTACTCTAATTGCAGAGACATTACAGCAAGGTTCTCCTCAAATGGGAGGGCAGGCAAGCCTGAGAGGTCCACAGCCTGGAGCAATGAACAAGGTATGTCAAAGATTTTATTTTGAATATTGACAATGAAAAATACAGTTTCAAAGTGCCATCCTTTAGGGATATTTTGGGTGTCTTGCCAGATGCCTCCAACATGTTTGCAGATGAAACATATAATACATATAACACAAACATATACATAATCTTATCAATGTATATTAATTTGTCTAATTGCAAGTGTTAAAAACTACTCCAAAAATGAATAATTACCGTTCTTAAGAATAGCATTAATAATAGAATATGTGAGAGAAAATTATATTGGCTTTGTGTCTTGAATCTTGCGTTTTGCAAAATGTCGTAGATGCAAAATAACATGAATTTGAAATGCTACTTTTCAAGACCCAAATGATCGCATTGAATGCAAGATATTTATTTTGCAGATTAAAATGAAGTTTTCAATCATTTTGAAAGTATTTTGAATTAAAAGAGCAATTTTGAACTTGAAATGGCATTTTGAATTCAAATTAGTTCAAATTCAAAACATTTTGCATGCCACTACTTCAAGGGGTATGTTATTGTATGTTCCTTTGTTGAAAAGTGGTCAGAAAAACAAAATTTTCAATTATTTTTCTGACCACGTTTCCTGTGAATGCTGGCTTTCATACACTGCTTATACAATCCTTGTGGGAACATTCATGAACTATTTCTAGAAACTAGAAATGGCTGAGGTTAAATTTGAATTTATAGATTAATTGAATAAACTGTTAATATAAAATAAGCAATAAAATGATTGAGTTTAAACTTGTTAAGTCAGAAATTATTTAAATCCAGTTTGATGGATAAACCATAGTAGACCAGTTATTACTATAGAAACCAGTTTCCAAATCACAGTGGCTGAGTTTACACATCACATAACTTTGATACAAAGCATATTATATTGTCCTCTGTCTCTCCGATGAAACACAGGATGGATGGGCTTTGCTAAAGCATAGTCATATGTTTAATTTTGATTTTTCAGACAATTCTAATGTGGTATATTCAATGAACCATGGTAACTCTGTTTTAGTAATTTGACATGCTCATTTTTTCATTGGTGAAATCAGAGAAAGAGTGGACAAATATTGAATAAAATTTATATTGATAATGCTAGCTTACCACTCTAGTTGGGAATGGCAAACCATGTGACCGGTCATTAAGCAAATCAGCCATGATTGTTAATAAAGATATCACATGACCAAAACGTAACTTCCTGGGATTCCCCATTGACTTTGCTTTTCAGAAGCCCTCTGGGATGGTTGCAAATGGTGGTCATGTGATCATTGTAAATACACAATGGTTATCAAACATCTGAATTGCAATCATGTGGCCACAGGAATGATCTTAAATGTGTTCGTCACTTTTCTCATTATTCTGTATATCTGCTATTGACAGCTATTCTAGCAGGTAGAACATACTATGGGAACAGTGCAATAAAAAGAATCTGGAATATGAACAGTGGGAGCAGAGTAACTTGGTTTTTTTGTGGAATTCAGCTGTTTGTGGATGCATTTTAGCAGAAAAACAAAATACTAATTGAAATTCTTAATATGTTTGGTATGTTTAAAATACATTTAAAATGCTTTCAGATTGCTTTTTAGTGTTTAACCGAAACTATCTCAAAAATAACAGTATCAAAAGCCTATTAAACAAAACAGATAGCATATTCCAGAACATATTACAACTTTAAAAAGTTTCAAAAATCATTGGTAATACATAAGCTGGTTTATATAGTGCACTACACCAAAACTGGTTTCTGACTTAATGTCTTCTATAAACACAATTTATAGAACAACAATTCTATAGTAAATAATGTTTAAAAGCTATGTTATAGCACTTACAAAGCCTATAGGTGGTTTGATTTCCATTAATTCTTAGATAATATTAAATTCTCTCGGTAAAATATTAGATATGAAATTATGTATTAGGCTATTTTATTCTGTATGATCATGGTATCTGTCTAGCGAAGAGGAAAAGATTACAGTAGATAGGGTTTAATGTGGGTATGGATGAACATTAATTTTAATTTTTTCTCTATTCAAAGATAGTACTAATCTAACCTGATTTATTAAGCACCAGAAAAACCTTGGGGTCATTTTTATTTTGAATAGGTGTTTAATTGTAACATTTCTGATTTTGGTTAACTTGAATTTGAGTATGTGTGTAATGTACTTTTTGTTATCATATTGCTTTAATTGCTCTGACCACAGGTGTCTTCCCAAATCCTAGCTCTTTTACGAAAAATAAGTCGAGAATTTTTAAATGAGAGTGCAATATTATTGTATAAATTTTGTTGGTTTTACCTCTACTATCAGAGCTTTTAAAGAACATGGCTCTGATATGGAAACATACTCCTGAATTCAACCATTATATTGTGAAGTTGTGTTACTAATTATACAGTTTACTGGTTTAAAGTAATGTTATTTGCCTTATGATTCCAGTTTTTTTGAACCAAGAAAAATAAATTTGTAATGAAGATTTGCTCTATAAGTTTTTCAGATGTTGCTTTTATATTTCTAAGTATCACGATTGCAGATACAGTATGTTAGTTATCTGTATGGCAAAGAAGATTGCTACAGAATGCTACAAAATTGAATAATTCAAACCTGCAATTTTAGAAATATTACCTAAATTACCAGAATTGTTAGGCATAACTTGGATCACATATTCTAGTAAAATTAATTTTCCTTTGTAAATCTAGAAGATTACAGGGGGAAAAAACCTTAATTATCCCTGCTTTCAAATAAATTATGATACGAGTGTAATTTGTTACAGATTAATTTGGATGATTTATTTAATAAAGTTATTTCTCAAATATATCAGCAAAAATTGTATTATTTACTCAGTTTTGTAAGTTTCTGAATTGTCTTATTAGCTTAAGATGAGGATTTTTGCTAACATTGGTGGCAGTGTCTTAAATTGTATTATCAAAGGTACTTTTGAAAAAATAATCAGTGTTCTATAAGTTATATAAATCTCATTGTCTAATTAATCTATCTCTGATTCATCAGAATCTGGCATCCTTGTAGGCTTTATTTTGTAAGAATAATATGGACACCACTCTCTTACTATAGTTGCTGGAAGTGGATGATATATGATAAACATCCCCCCCCCCAACTCCAAAAAATGGCCACATGGCTATTCTTATATAAAGTTTCTGCTTTCTTCTCAGAGAATGAAAAGAAGCGACTAAACAACCGAGCAGTGTTTGGATTCTGAAAAAGTGGCATAAGATAAATTCAGACTAAGTTGAAATTCAGACTAAGCTACCATGAAAAATGGCATTGTGTAAAAAACTATCCTAGATCATAAGGGTGAATCTAGGAAGATTCTTGAAGAAAGAAAGAAAATTAATTTTTGTTTGAGATAACAAAGTTAAGGATATTGTAGAATTCGTTTATGATGGAATTATGAGCTTAATTTATACTGAAGCCCATGAATGACTCTAGTTAGTGTAGTGAAATATTTATTTCACTATACCTAGATCAGTTTGGGGACGAGTGGCTGTTACTCTAATGTCCAATAAATATAAATAATGACATTTTCCATGATTTACTTTATTTGCCTAATACGTTCATGATGCTGTTAATGTCATAATTCTTATTTTTATCATTTGTATATAATATGAATTTAACTACTTTGTAATATAAGTTATTTGTGGGAGAGACTTAAGTTCAAGTATTATTGTACTTGGATGAATTTGACACAATTGTGTATCTAATCATACTTGGGCAAATTAAATATTCAATTCAGTTCAATTGCACTTTTCAATTCCAAGGTATTGGTTAGTCTGGGCCAAAAAATCTCAAAAAGGCATACCGAACCTTTCCATAATAATTCTAAGAAAACTGTATGAGCATATAGTTGCCAAAAATTAATTTAGACTAGTCACTTTAAAAGGATTTGACAGGTGGTGGCATCTTGCCATTTGACTGATTTGGAAAATTAAGCATTGTGTTTATTCCAGAGCTATATGTCAAAAAATTTCCTGCAAGAAGCTAAAGGCAAGCCTCTGTAAGGCTGCTGAAAAATTGTATAGGAATGGTCCAAGAGTGACTTTTATTTTTGCTGTGATGCCATCTCTGTTTATGGTGGCTAGGCTATGTTTTGGAAATGGTTGCAAATTACATTTGATTGAATTGGATAGACCTTTTGCAAAGAACTTAACATTTGAAAATTACCATGTTTTCCCAAAAATAGGACATGTCCCAAAAATAAGGCCAAGCCTGATTTTTGGAGTGGGCGTAAATATACGCCCTCCCTCGAAAATAAGCCCTAGTGAAGGGGTGGGCGTGGCCAGCACAGGAGGCAGACCTTCCCTTCCCCAGTCAGCTAATGGCAGCTGGGCCCCTTAATTGCGACCCGGGGATCAGCTGAGCTGATCGGGAGCTGCCTCTCATTCTCTTTCCCCCCAGTGTTCTTGGTGCTCGCCCGCCTCCCATCCATTCAACCATCCATCCCCCTCACCTGCAAACTCCTGCCCCGCTCGCAAGAGAGCAGCCTCCCAGCTCTTCTTGCCAAGTTGTGTCCACCTAGCATTGAGGATGGCTTCCCCTGTGGCTTCTAAAAGCCGGCTGGAAGCCGAGAAGAGGCCAATTGGGCCAGCCGCCTGCTGTTGAGTCTTCCGGGAGCTGGGGCAGCCGCATGGAGTTGGAACCATAGAGCAGGCCGCTTCCCGCTCTATGGTTCCAACTCCATGTGGCTGCCCCGGCTCCTGGAAGACTCGACAGCAGGCAGCTGGCCTGACCAACCTCTTCTTGGCTTCCAGCCGGGTTTTGGAAGCTGCACAGGAAGCCATCCTCAGTGCTCGGATGGCGGCGATGGCGTGGTCTCCTGATGCGGGCTACAGCTCCCTTCACCACCTCTCTGCCCTGGCTACCGGAAGACTTGGCAGCAGGCTGCTGGCCCAACCGATGTCTTCTCCGTTTCCAGCGGCTTCCAGCCGGGTGCTCACCAGCTTCGTCCACATCGACATGGTGAGGCCTGGGAGGGACGCAAGCGGGGGAGGGAACAGGCGC